AGACGAATGCTGCATCGTTTACTTTGGTGTTAGATTTTGCTGCTCTTTCAAACCGTCTTCGAGCGCCTACACTGGAGATGTGGGATTCTTTGCGTACGGTGTTTGATCCTCTTCCTTCGGCATCGAGGATATCGATTGAACAGATGGTTACGCGGGTGTTTAAGCGGTGCGAGGCGGTGGTGGTAGTGAATGCAACGAGCCTACTGAAGCTGCTCAAGCCTGTTATTTCCCTTATGGTTCCTGTCAGCAATGAAAAGTTGTTTGTTTCTACAGACTTATCTGCATTATATAAAGTCGTTCCGGGCTCGCAGATCCCTAGGCCGTACAACCCAGCAGCTGCTGCTGCAGTCAGCAGCAACCCACAGACGTTGCAACTGTATGAACTGCTGAACGGTAGGGCGCAAGAGCTGCTGGGCAGGTCCCTGGTAATTGATTTGGCGGGAGAAGGGCCGAGCTCTAAGAAGGAATTGGAGGCAGAATCATCTGTGGCAGCAGCAGCAGCAGCAGCAGCAGCAGAGGCAGCAGCAGCAGCAGCAGCAGCAGCGGCAGCAGCAGCATCGCCCCTTGCATCAACAGCGGATGCAGAAGGGGATGCTGATGATCTTTTTGATGACATTGATTAATAAGTAGTCACTAAGGCGGAACCGAGGAGAATAGGGGCAGCGTGATGATAGTCTGGCCTTGCTTAGAATATATGGGTGTTTCAGCACCTAGCTGGAGCAAGTGCAGGCGATGAACATACCATTAAACACAAACAGCAGCAATGCAAACAGAAATATAAGCAGGCATTCTGTGCATGGTGTATCCTCAGGATAGAGGTGCACCTCTGTCACAGCCCGGCTTTTACAGTGTGAATATATATATATATATATATATGCATGTATATACAGATATATATGTGAGTAGAGGGTTCAAATGGAAGGAAANATATATATATATATATATATGCATGTATATACAGATATATATGTGAGTAGAGGGTTCAAATGGAAGGAAAGGAGTAGAACGTCGAAATGCAAGAAAAAGAATTAATATATGAACTCTACGCAACGAGAAACAGAAGAAGTCGCAGCTGTCTTTGCCGGCTGTCAATGATACTAGGCCCTTTGCGAGGATAGGGCGAGAAGGGAGTGGAGGGAATAGCTTTTCTTGCAAACAGCGGCAACGAATACAAATGAGAGGAACAACAATTGCTTTTTTAGAGGGAAGAACACACTTTTTTTTCTGCAAAAGAACGGGTCCAACGTATATATACATACATATATACAAATATATCTGTATGTATATATATTTGGGCAACTGTACGTGAATAGATGCATAATTTCGAGTGTGTGTCTGTTATGGTACTACTAGGAGGTTTACGGCTGGGGCCATTTAGTTGTACATTGCGCATGCTGCAACCCGTAGACACTGTAGTATGAAGCAGGCTAGCCTGCCGAGGCGGCGGCTTTTAGTTGATTAGTTTGGGCGGCGGTGTATGCACAGCCATTGAGTCAAAAGGATGAACAAGGAAAGATAGGCAGGTAGCGACGCAGAGACTTGGTCTGCATGCTTTCGCGCGTGATTTCGAGAGAAAGCTGATAGATCCCAGCCACTGCCAGTGCTCCTGTCAGCAATTGGCTCTACAAAAGCCCGCCGTTGCGCAAAATAGTAGTGATAGAGAATCGTTAGCCATGATAGCAGTAGCTGCAGTATTGTTGTTATTTATAATTATTATTCTATATGGTGTAGGGAGTAGCTGGTGCCGCCGTCTGCCTGTGCCTCGTTCTGCTAATGGTCCTCGCCAGCCGAGGGGCGTAGACTGGTGACTGCAAATTGAAGTACAATAGTTTAACTGAGAAATAAAAAAAGCAAAAATAAATCAAGTGAATGGAAGAAGACTGAAAAAAAAAAAGGCGGCTCCGATTGCAAAGGCGACTGAGGCTCGTTGGCTGGTGACCCGGCGACCCCTTGTCAGTCTGCTGCAGTGGTGGGCCAAAGCAAATAAACAAGACCCTGAAACATATCTTTAAAATTAACTTTATTGTGTTTGTACAAACTACAACGTGTCGCTGCTGCTGTCGCATTTCGGATTACCGGTGGCGCGAGCTGCACACTGACCAGTGAGACCCTCGTGATTGAACAGAACAATTTAAAGCGATAAATCCCCCGGCTTTCCTAGTGTTTCCCTCAACCCTCTTGATAATGCAATTAAACCCTTGTAGGTAGATGTGTAGATCGAGCGGAGATAAATCTGCAAAGGTCGCTGTGCGTAGTTAGATCTGGGGGCGGCTAAGGACGCCTCCCCTTCTAACTAACCCATAGGCAAGCTGCCTATCCCCTTGAAAAATATTTTCTCACCGACCCAATGGAGGGTGAGGCTGAGGAAGCAATGCGCAATGTCTGCTCTCCTGGCGAAGCATGCACACCTGAGACAGCGGCTGCAACTCCTCAGCCCCCGTTGACAGCTGCAACTGAGGAAGAATCATTTGAGGTTGTTGGAAAGGCGATTTCCGCCCTCTTAGCTACTGAATACTGCTCCCAGGACCCCGAAGTGGTCCGCAAGCTCGCTGAGGAGCTGCACGTGACAGGAGATCCTTTGCTCGTTAGCAGTGAAGTAACAGAAGGCCCAGCAGAGGGTCGACGAGTTGAACGTGCAGAGTCTTCAGCATCTGCATCCCACTCAGAAGGGGAAGAAGAGAGCCTTGTCTCGAACAACCAAGAGCAAGAAGCTAGCAGCCATCATTCCTTCAGTGTACAGCAAGTGCCTCTAGGCTCGGTCTTGTTTTCGGGCGACCTTACAGTCAATCAACAAGGGGCCCTCAGCGTTCTCGGGCCAGGCAAGAAGATAAACGCCGTTTTTATGTATTGAAGTTTAAATTTGTGTTATGCTTTCCTACCCGCTGCCACTGCGACAAACTAGGGGCTGATTCCTTGCGCGTAGATCTGTTGTGTGAAGTAGCGGTGCTTATCTTAGAATCTAGACCAGCCGTCTCATATTTCTGATGAACTTAAAAAGATTACTCTTATATGCTAAAAGCAATGCTTACTATCACCCATGCGAGTTGCGCTAACAGTAATGTTCCTGTTGTGTTTTTTATAAACAGTTTCTTCAGTGCAGCTCTTTCGGCACTTTCTTCCAGCGAGTAGTGAAGTTGAATTTAGAATGCATGCCCAGTGCCTTCGACCTCACTTCATCAAAGTAGTTTTCTGTGTTGTTGTCTTCTGAGTATAATCCTAGAAATCCCGAAATCATTATGTATGATTGGCATTTAACCAAAAACTGTTAGCAGCTCTCTCTTGAGACTGCTGGTTTCTGTGAACAGCAACTGTTTGCTTTGCTAATGGGACGAAGTACACGGGGCTGCTATGCAGCCGCATGCGGCTTTGTGGAGAAGCTTTAATTGAGTGGCCCTGCGGCGCCACCTACAAAGGACAGGTAATCAGCACCTCGCACGATGCAGCCGTGTACCCGTAACCCACAGGAGTTGCGTTTGCATCTAATACATTACTAATACATTACTAATGTCATAATAAAAATATAGCCCGACGTAAAATAATGACAATAGCAACTTAACAATTTGGCGGCTAAAAGGCTGCAGTTACAAGGATCAACTCCGCCAGAGAGTCAAATACCTTTTCCCTTCACCCCATAATAACAACATTTGCACAGCAACTAGCAAAGCCGAATGAAAACGACGCGCCGACGAACCTCAAAGAACCCAATTCCTCTTGCGTACTTCTCCTTGCCCGCTCTGTTGCAGCATTCAAATTCATTATTTTATTTTTCGTTGAATATTCGCCGTAGGTTACCGGGGGATTGCGCCACGGAGTCGGCACCTTCACTTCGGCAGACGGGTATAGTTTGCAAATATTGAAATGTTTTAACAAGTGGTTGTTTCTACGAGAACGTATTATGACGAGAAAGTGTTTTAATGAGGTTTTTAACTGCAAATAGGTTGCGTGCATTCACGCTCGGTGCGCCAGCAGTGGTGCATTCATATGACGAAATATGGGAATGGGAGCCCTATAGAGACGGATCATCCTCGTGAAAACTCCTGGGTCTCTTCTCAGGAAATTCACATACGAGGGAGAGTGGTGCCAAGGGGTACGCAGTGGCTGGGGTGTCCTGACCGGCGCTGATGGCAGCAAATACAGCGGTGAGAGCTGCATGGACGCAATCGGGTTGTTTGCGCGTGCACTGAATTGATGCCGTTGTCGAGGCTCACCTGTTAGGGAGGACTTTTCAAAAGCTGACACTACTAAGCAGCAAACCTCAGTCTCAGGAGGATGGAGGTAGCAAGATTGCACAGCAAAGCAAGTGGAGGTTGCTAGGGTCGGTGTATGCAGTACGATTCCCTTAAGGAGTGAACTGAGCTACCAGCGTGCAGTTCCTGGTGTGTTTGCTGCAGGTGAATGGGTGGCCGGGCGCCGCCACGGATTCGGGGAGCAGCTGTTTGCAGACGGCAGCAGATATGAGGGCCAGTGGGTTGACGGGTTGCAAGAGGGGCAGGGGCTGATGATTTGGAAGGACCCCTCAGTGCAGTATGTTGGTGCGAGAGGCTCAGCACATTATCAGCACCGACTATTTTCATATATTCAATAATCAGCATATCCCTACCAGGATCAACACCCCCGCCCTGCTAGACAGCGCACTGCCTAAACGACAGGCTGCACGAAGCAACCGTTTGTGCTCTTGCAGCCAAAACTGACAGCTCTCTGAACTCCGGAGAGATACACGGATCTCACAGAAAAGGCGTAATCTCTCTGAACGGTAGATAGGGGTGAACCTCATGGAGAAAGAGCACTTGAGCCCCCGCCATACCAAGCTTTACTAAAGTGTCGTGCCTTCTGTGAAATTCGCAGGAGAGTGGAGGGGGGGAACTGTCTCAGGGTGGGGTCGCCAAACGTGGATCGAGACGCCTGACTTTGACGGCGGAGGGGCCTGTAAACATTCATCTTCCTGTCATCTTACTCTTTAAACTCAGCCTTTATAGCGGATGCGAAACATGAAATGGATGACCTTCCTGTTGTGTGATGCGTTGACATTTGCATTATGAGTGCAGGGACCGTCGGGCGCAATCTGCAGCAAAACCAATACGAAGGCCAATTCAGGGTAACGATATATATATCTCTCTAGTTGTTACACAGCCAGCTAACCAGCTAGCCATTCAAACCAGTAGTTTTTCGGCGGCTGCTGCTTCCCAAGTGGAACAAACTTCCAGTAGCGTCAATTCAACTCCCCTCAAGACTCGAGGTAGACCATCTGTTACCCTGACCTTCTGAAGAGCAAAGCCCAATTTTCTGCTATGTCGTCTGCTGAGCAGAACGGCCGTAGAGAAGGCGTTGGAGCGTTCAGCTATTCTAATGGGGCGCGATATGAAGGATCGTGGGTAGCCGACCAGAAACATGGAATTGGCACATTCAAGTCCGAGACAGGGGCGCTTTACGAAGGTAATTGACCGCTCACGGGCACCCACAGGTTTCTGAGGCTGTTGAATGCTTTCCCCTGCATGCGAACACCCTGATTTCCTCTCATTAACCTCTTATCACCCCCAGAGGAAGCGTTTTGATGGAAAGCTTTGCTCAAGGTTTAATTGCACTTTCAGGTCTATTTGTTTACGACCGAATGGCGGAAGCGCCGCCCAGTCTTCTTGATGATCCTGTTCGAGCTCTTGTCGACCTGTCCACTGCGCAGCAGGCGGAGGTCTGCAGGCATCTAGAAGCGTACAATGGGCAGAACTTGTGGACCCAAGTCAATGCATGCGAACGTCTTGCTGCAAGAACTATACGAAGTGTCTACCAGACTATGCTGAGGTAACTTCGAAATAATCCTTTTCACTCTGAATCTAATAAAATGCTTTTGTGAACATCCTGATCAGTATTTCACGGGTTTTCAGCCCTGTATGGCTAACCAAAACCGAAAACAGTGGGCGGCCGTGTGGTGGTAGGCCTTAGAGCCCGTTGACTAATGGAGTTTTGATCATCAAAATGCGTTTCTCAATACTTTTCCTTTCAGGAATGTGTGCATCCTTCGTCGCGTGTACGGCGCCTATCGTCGCTTCGCGCCAATGCCCCATAGCGACCCATATGTGCTGTCTTGTGCACAGTTCTGGTAGGCAGAGAAACCGACTGGCGGGTTTGCCGGTCGGCTTACAGCATGCATGCCTTCAAATAGACACTGGCGCGCTTAAATGCATATACTTGCTTTCTGGATTAGCCTCCCCGCAAATCGAGTATCGAGACGCCGTGGATGACCCTGTCTGAGCCTGCTTCTGGCGTTTCATGCATTACCTGTGCTTCAGGTGTCTGGCCTTCGACGCGGGGCTTTTAAGTCCTTCCTCCCCTCTTTATGAGACAGCAAAGGTAGTGCATACCTATGACAAGCTAAACTCTTCCGATGCTCCTGCGTTTGCACTGTTCAATATGCTGCCTGTTCTTTGTAAATATGACAGGCACAGAAGCTTTCCACTTTAAACACGAAAAATTTTGTTTTTGTGTTGTGCGTATTCTTGAAAGCTTCTACTTAGCTCAGGTAGTGATGAAAACTTCCAACGCGCTCGTCGCCTTTCCGGTGGAACGCCCGCAACGCTGACGGTCATTGCGGCGGAGAGGAGGCGCAGCTCACAAAGCACAGACATCCGNGTGGAACGCCCGCAACGCTGACGGTCATTGCGGCGGAGAGGAGGCGCAGCTCACAAAGCACAGACATCCGGCTGGCTGAGCTTACGAAAAGTTCAGCAGATGCAGCAGCGGATGAAGCAGCAGATGGAGCTGCAGATGCAGCTGCAGATGCAGCACCTACTGCAGCACCACATGCAACGCCACGCGAAACACCAGATGCAGCACCAGATACAACAGAAGTGTCAGCACCTGCTGTTGTACCGGCGGCTGACCAGCAGCAGCACTCTCACACTCCTCGCTCACCAATGGGTGTTCCAACGAGTTACGAACATGTCATCAGCCATCAGGATAAGGCACGACCACCAACCTATGAGACTATGGCGGAAGATTCTCTCCGCCTGCACCGCCGACCCGTGTTATTCACTGCATTCTTAAGGGCCCTAGTATTACTTTTGCAGATCCGCCTGCGCAGTCTCCGAAGAGTGGCAGACAGGAGTCGTCCAACTGGCTGCTCAGGAACTACAGGTAGTGGGGACCCTATTGAGAGCATCGACTTAGATGACCCCAATTGTTTAAGCCTTGCTTGGATAGCGCTGTGCCGCAAGCTCCGCATTTTCAGCGAGACCATTGAGAAGAAAATACAAAATGAGCTTAAAGAAGCATCGCAGAAGGATGAAGACCCACCGAACGAACAGGGCAATCAGACAGTTTCTAACGGCACAAGTCAACAAGCAGAGGCCAGCGACCCTGTGCCAAGTGGCCTCAGTAACGCGCCTAGTGAACAGTCGCAACTCAAACAGAGCGCGCCTCCTCAACCAGCTGCACGCAGACAAGACTCGTCGTCTCAGCAGCTCAAGCGGTCCCCCTCAGGACAGGCGAGACCGAAGGCATCCATCAGCAGGCAACAGTCCGGAGTGACGTCTACGAGTACACGGAAGGCCCCAGAAGCAACCCGGTCAACTGGCACAGGGCCTGGTACAACTTCGAATACGAATGACAGCAAAGCAAAAGATCCTTCTCAATGGCGAATTGGCACTCCTAGGGAAAGCTCCTTGCGTAGCAGTGATGTAGTAGAAATGGCAGCCTGTGCAGGCCGCCATGCAGAGGCGTTCCGCCATGCCGCTCTAGCAGAAAAATGCTGCACCCTGGATGAGGCCCTTCACAGAGCCTTGTTCGCGAGCTCCTCACAGCGCGTCGGCTCAAGTAAATCCTGGTCTTCTGCTGCATCTCCGCCTTGATCACCGCTCAACTGTGCCTAGCCACCCGCATTACGGGCACTCACACAAACATGAAGATTATGTTTTGCGCCTTGCGTTATCTTTTTCAAGGCGCCAGGGAAAGCGGAAAATCAGCAGAAATCCCGGGGGCCTTGGTCTGCACAGTTCGCGTTCTGTTCCGTCTCCTCGACGTAATTTCGCCTTACCCCGCACATCTAGTCACTTCTCTGTTGTCGAAACCCGTAGATACATAGACAAAGACGCATTCCCACGCACGATAAAAACATCTTGAAGGCATAGAAATAAACCGCATTTCTCAAGGGTCCGGACAGTTTATAGTTTAGTTGTTTAGCAACGGCATCGGTCGAGAGGTAATTAAATGAGCTGAAGTGGAGCCTTCAATTGCATTGGTTCCCACGCCTGCAAAACATCGAAATATGCGTCTGTTATGGTGCATGCGACGCAGATTGCAGGTCTCGTACTGCCCAGTGACAATCAGCATACCGACAAGGGAACTGGAGAGTGTGAGCACCACTAGACTTTTAGGAGGTAGAAAGCCTTGGAAGCTGCAGCGTTTGTCTTAACCGTGTAGTCCGTTTAGGATTCACAAGTCACCTTGAGGGCTTTAAAGTGGTTTCGTCTGAAAAATCACGCGTAACCATCTTAAATACCTGAACTCTGACGTGTACGTAGTGCAATAGATAAACTGAAGTGCCTCTATCAGGGCGATTGTTTATGCGTTTGTGTTCTTCTTCCCTCTACTAGCTCGTGGGGTCCTCCCTCCAGGCACTCCCGCCACGAGCGCCAGCTCTGCTACTGCCCCACNCCTCTACTAGCTCGTGGGGTCCTCCCTCCAGGCACTCCCGCCACGAGCGCCAGCTCTGCTACTGCCCCACGGAGCAGAAGAGGCAGCTCTGGTGGATCCATACTGCTTCCAAGACTGTCTACAAGCCGTGGGAGGCTTTCAAAAAGCGTAGGCAGAACAGCCAGCAGCATCATATCATGCATCATGCAAATTGCTTTCGCAGTTGTCGCACTTGGAGAAGTTTGTAGCAAGGACTTCAGTCAGGCCGGCTTAGTTGTGGCCGATTCACCCTGTGCTTGTGGCAATGCAGAGACCCAGCAAGTCCCCTGAATGGCCAACAAACGCAGGAGGTGAAGCTCACACTGAGCTCCATGTTGACTATTTAAATCAAAGGACAGAGGCTAACACGAAAACAGGGAGCAAACCCATAGCTTCATAGCTGCATCTGGGGACTACTGCAGATCCCTAGAACTGTTGCAGTGGTGAAGGAGATTTCTGCATGACTTCGATTTGGACCTTTTGCTGTGGCTATCAGAAGCGGCAATCGTGTTGCGGGCGACGCCGATGAGTTCTTTCGCTTTGCCAGCACTTGGCTTGGTCGCCCTGATGGTGGAGGTGCTTCCTGCATCAGACGAGTTGAATAGCCTGCGTCATCATCGATCTAAGAAGCCTAGCGCGCAGCAGGACAAGGCGCAGGACCCATCAAGTTTGCAGGAAGACGGAGAGGTCGTAGAAGCCTCGACAGCTGCCCCGGACGATCCCACGGCGGCCAAACGTGCTGAGATACAGCGCCAGCAGCAACAGCAGTTGCTGGTGATCGGGAAGCAGCAGCAACATCTTCGAGAAGCGATGCGCAGGGGACTGCTGTCTTGGACAGAAGTTGCCAGCTGGAAGCTGACTTTCATCGAGGTCCAGCGGCTCCTCTTGCGAATCGTTCAGCTAAAGGTGTGGACAAAAAGGGGTTTGTAGAAACAAAGTGGTTGAAACTCACTAAAGCATTTGAAATCTAGACGGCTAAAGTATACAGAAGGATCGAAACAATATGAATATTTAAATGAATACCTTCCTTTACATTCTTAGTGCTAGTCTATAGGATTTGCTGACGCATCATTTTGCTTGCAGATGCCTCCTGCAATCGCTGCCCTACTCCCCCTGGAACTTCAAGTCGAGGAGTTCCTTCGCCGCTTCTCCGCCGCCGTATCCCCCCCGTTGAGGGACACGCAGCAGCTGCTGAGTTCACCTGTGCGGCAGGCAGAGACACAGGAGCAGCAGCTAGCCAGCCAGCAGTTTTCCTTGTCAGGTGACGAATCCCCTGCTGCCCGCAGCGACGCTACTTTCTCAGCCGCTACAACAGCAGATGGAGAACAAGCTCAAAGATGTTTCTGGCACGGATTCTGTGGCACTTTCAAAGGGAGGCAGATCTACGATCGGCCTATACAGATAGATGAATCAATAGCTTCGGATGTACCGGAGTCAGAAGATGGTGCCGAGAGTGAAAGTAGCAATTCTTC